CCAAGCACCAACAGCTATGGAACTAGGGTTCGTGCTAGTATTTAAAATTAGGAGCATATAACAGATGTCTTGATCACCATCATAAGTGTTTTAAAGTGAGGAGTGAGATATCGAGCAGTTTCCTTTCCTGCAAGAGTGGTTCATATGCTCTCAAATTAAGATTTTATCTTTTTAAATCTGTAGCCATCTCAGCCTAGCAATCAAATAATGCCATGCATGTAATTGTTATCTTTCTTTACAGAAAGAAGATGCTGTCACTATGTATATTGGAATTTGCTAAATAATTATGTCCATACAGTATAATCTATTTGGCTCCATATATATATATATATATATTCCCCTTTTGAGAGATAGAATTAGCCTAATAATTAAAAATTTGTTAAGGTCAAGTTTGTACTACTCTCTTTTTCCTTGATGGCTTGCTGCTGCATCTCTGAGAGGTGTTTTGTTTTTTGTTCATTTTCCCTTCAATAATTGATCGTTGTGACCTGGAATGCATAGTTGAAGTGAGAACTTACTTATATTGCTTTTTATTTGACTGGTGATACATTATATATAGTACTATGATTTCGTTTGTGCTTGTGTTTTCTGTATTTGCTAGTAATATGACTTTCCCTGTGGCTTCCCTGCAGTCCTTTTTGTCAAATAATCATCTTCGTTTGTGCTCGTGTTTTCTGTATTTGCTAGTAATATGACTTTTCTTGTGGCTTCCCTGCAGTCCTTTTTGTCAAATAATCATCTTTTATATTATTTTATATTTTATTTTTATTATTTTATATTTAATTTTTATTAAATAAATAAAAATAATAAGATTCAAACTTATAATTATTTTATTATTAAAATTTTGATATTATATTAAAAAATTATATGAATATAATAATTTAAATTTTTAAATTAAATTTTTAAATATAATTTATATTATTTTTTAGTTTTTTATTCTTGCATACTTGTATGAATGTTGTACGTAAAAACCCTAAAAACCGAGTCTTCTGTAGAGCAGTGGGTTTGTCGTTGTCATTGATGTGGCAGGAACCTTCCCTTGTCATTCTTCATAATTTTAGATTTAGTATTTTTATTTTATCTTTATAGATCTATGTTATATATATTATTTTATCTTTTTATTCCTTGTTCGTGGGTTTTGTTATTTTGAACAGAAATTAAGTGGTTATTTCTAGCTAGATAGAATAAAATTGATACCAATCAACTGTTTTGAATATTTCATCGATTGAGTTGTAGGGCGACTCATTTCTCTATTATTTTATAATAATTTAAACTTATGAACTAACATTTCTAAATAACAATTCAGATTTGAAGATTTGAAAATATTATCTTTATCTTTCAAACAATTAAATGACCAATAAAATAACATTTATATTGAGTTATACTCCATTTCTATGTCTTTAGTCAATCTAGTTATTTATTAATTAATGAAATTGTAGTGTAACATCTTCTCGTATTATGTTACAAAGATTTAAACTCCTTTGTACAAGTGAAATTAATCCATTCCTACGTAACAATTCAAACTTTAAAATATTTCTTTGTCGTCCGAATAATTAAAAGAGCAATAAAATAACATCTTAAATTAATAAGATATTGAATTATGCTCCTTTTATGTGTCTCTAGTCAATCTTGGTAGTCTTGTGGTTTCTTTATACGCTATATTGTCAAGTCAATCGTCCTAGAATTATTAGTTTTTTCTTTTCTTTTTCTTTTCTTTTTTTTTTGAGGGGGAAAAGCCTACTCTATCTGACCTTAACACTTAATTATATTGCTTTTATACTTGATTAGTGGCATAGTACTATGATTTCGTTTATGTTTACCAATAAAAACCTAAAAGTCATCATTAAAACATTGAAGCACACAACACGTAAAATATTGGGAATTGAAATGGTATTTTGACTTTGTATCCTTAGCAAAGTTTGCTACATGAGATAATACTTTTTTTTTCTACATGACGTTACTTTTTTTTTTTCCTACATGACATTATCAAATTAATTAAGAATAAATTAATATATATATATATATATAATTAATTATTCTTAAAAATATATTTGAAATTAGGGTTCAGGGTGTGTTAATATTTTTATATTTTGTTGGCACAATTAAATGACTACATTACACTTCATAGGGAAAAGAAGACATCCAATTGCCTCTTCACTATTTTCTCATGGCTTTTAGTTATAAGCAATGTGAATGGGGACAAGTTAATTTTTTAATAAAAATAAGAATAATAATAATAATAAAAATAATTAATGTCTGTTACTCATCTCTTTTAACTACGCATGAGTGTTTTTTAATATTCAAACGCCATCTTCTATGTTGATATTAAAAATGCCACGCCGTTTGCAACAAACATTGTTTTTCTTTTTCTTTTATCTTTGTTCACCTTGAATTTTACATTAGCTTTTTCAAAAATTAAATATATCATTTAATTTGTATTTGTATTAATTTTGATTTTTTTCTTTAAATTGCTATTTGTTTTGTTTTTAATACTCTTTTTTATTGATTTTTTTTCAATTTCATCCTAAAAATTTAATTTAATTCAATTTTTTAATCTAATTTGGTTCTCATTCTTTTTATTGTTATTTTTTTTAATTTTTTTTCAATTTCATTCCTTATTATTTTTTTTCATTTAGTGTTCATACAATATTTGATCCTTATTATTTTGATTGTTATTTATTGATTTTTATGATTATGGATTTTGATAGGTCACTGGTTATGAAGAGTAACCCAATTTAACTTTTGTTTTTTAAATTAATTTTTTTTAATTTTATCTTTCGATATTAGATTATTAAACCTTTAGCTTTGTGAGTGCTTCTTTTATGTAAGGTTATTATGATTTCATATCTTTACTGACAGGTTGGTTGAGTTAACCTGAGTTGACTTTGGTTTTTTTTCTTTATTTTTTGTAGGGTTATCTTAATTTTTTATTTCGGGTCACAAGCTAGTCGAGTTAACTCAAGTTGACTTTAGTTTTGTTTTAGATTTTTTTCAGCTTTATCTTTTTTTTTTAAGAGTTGACTTCTATTGTTTTTTTTTTATATATATATAGGGTTATCGTAGTCTCATGACGAAGACATGAATTTAACATGTTGACCCGAGTCAGTTTTTTCTCCTTTTTAAAAATTATTTTTTTAATTTATCCTTCAATATTTAATTTATTGGAAATTGATCTTTCAATTTTTTTCAATATTTTTTGTGAGATTATACTTTTTTTATTCAATTTTTGCTTTGATATAAAATAATATTGGCAAACATTTTTTGATAACATCATTGAGATCTTTTCAAAATATTTAGGGTTTCTTTTTTTATAATATTGATAATCATTTATATTTTATTTATTGGTCATTATTTTTTTATTATCACTTAGTTTTTTAAATTATTTTATTAAATTAATTGAGATTATTAAACTTATTTGGATCATAATATTTTTTTTTATTATTATTATTATCCGGACATCTTTTTATTATAATCTAAATTCATTTGTGGATGTCAATGCAATCTCTTTTTACATGAATATTTTAAAATATTTTCTATATCATCCAAATGATCAAAGAGTATACAGTATTGTTTGAAATAACATCTCGAATTGATGAATCAGATATAGAATTGTGCACGATTTCTATGTCTCTTGTCAATCTTGGGATTCCTGTGGGGTTTCTTGACACCCTACGGAAATCTTTTGGAATTGCTCGCAAGAGAAGTGAAGATAGATTGGATGCAAACAGTGATGGTAGGGGCCACTCTTTGATCATCCATTGATAAATGAAAAAAGAAGATGAGCTAAGATGAATCAGCCAGCCAGCCAGCCCACCCACCCACCTAGCCACCACGAGCCAGCCTTCCTGCTCGTTGCCTCATTTTATTCCACAACTTAGGATATCGAAATGCTCGATGACAGGATGCCTACTTGGAATTCTTCTCCAAGGCAGGAAAGCAACCTGAATAGACAAGAAAAAGGAAGTGGGAATTGTGAACATGGAAGATCGATTGGTGCAATAAGTCTTACCAATGGAAGATATGGGGAGGGACAATGGGAGAACAGCACAATCTAATAGTTTCAAACATGTCCCAGGAAGGGGGCCCAGCTAGAACAACTGTCCAACACAAGTGCTTTGCTTAAGTAGAAAATAACATTAATTAATGACTTGATTCACCTGAAAACATATGCTTTTGGGGTATATAATATAAGGTTTGCTTGCTCTAAGAAGATATGCCAAGATCTCATCGAAGACTAATATTAGTATATATGCTCACGTCATTACCCACTTCCTATATTCCTTCGTTTAGCAACTACTCTCCTTAATTGCTATTCTAATACCATTCCCAAAACATGGTCAAGATTAACATATTAAAAGCGGTGTTCTTTTTTGTTTTTGTTTTTCTTTTCTTTTTTTTAATTCGTGTGGGTGGGAGGATAATTACAAAGAAGCTTCATCTGGTGCCGAGTAATAAATTACATTTCTACAGATCCCCACATTTTTAAAAGCATTATATTGAGACCTGTAGCTACACTGTAGTGGATGGGACTAGGCACCCACAGCTATTATATTATATTTAGAGCTGTGTTGATAAGCTTCGGTAGAGGACAATACATAAATCCACTTACTCATTATAATAGTTTACAACAATAGTAGTACTAATAATAATTAAAAAAAACCTTAATTTAATCCTCTCTCTCTCTATATATATATATGGATTAAACTAAATTCCAATTTCTTTCTTTGACTTTTATTAATATGATATATAAATTAATAACCTGTAATTGATCCTTTCTTTGGAATATATGCTTTAAATGTCCAAGTGGCACTACAGTTGTATGATATTATATGTTTAAAATTGCTCCCAGGCCATGGAATTCCTCGTTTAAAAAAAAAAGCACACTGAATCCTCTTTGATGGAGAAAGCTTGAAGTGTATCTACTATAAAATGCAAAAATATACGTAATTCAAAAAATAAATATTGCATGAGCTAGACGGCTTCTCTAATCTGACTTTTCTTTTCGTGTCTTTTTTAATTGCATGTTTATGGTATTCATGATTATTATAAATCGTTCCTATTTGAGATGCAATGCATTGTTGGAAACCATGGAGTTTACTATATAAGGAAGAGAAGCCAAAGTATTAAATATCGATCGGTGCAGATATTAGCTCTACAAAATTAATTATATCCATTTTTTTTTCTTTCTAAATTCAAGGGAGATAGATGGAAAAGGAAGGATCTAACATGTTTTCTTCCATACTGGATGGAGATCAAAATGGCCATTCTGCTCAATACTGTACAGTCGAGAAGAAGCTCAGATTATTTGGATTCGAGCTGAATCCATGCAAGAATAACAAGAGTTGCATGAAAGGGTGTGTGGAAGGAGATCATGAGAGTGTGAATTCGTCAAATACCGTATTGTCATCTGAAAGGGAAAAACCTGTCAAGGAGAAAAGCTCTAGTTCTGGTCATCATGGGCCAGCAGATGATAAGAAGTTTGAGTGTCAGTATTGTTTCAAGGAGTTTGCAAATTCACAGGCATTGGGGGGTCATCAAAATGCCCATAAGAAAGAAAGACTGAAGAAGAAGAGATTGCAGCTTCAAGCCAGGAAGGCAAGCCTCAGCTGTTACCTTCAGCCTTACCAGAATAACCTTTGTTACAATTATCAACATGGCTCCAGTACTACTCCATGGTTCTTCGATCCCTCCTGCTCTACTACTCCTGATCAGTTCACGCTCTATGAGGAGTCGCAGATTAGTTTCAATCCATGCGAGGATTCCCACCTTAATGACTCTCAGATATCAAATTGGCATGCTGTTCCAGCTCAGGTGATCCCTTTCCAACAAGATACTCGTTACAAGTTCACTTTCACGCATGCCGATCAGCGATCCATAGATTACAAGCCCTCTCCTTTGCTTGCTTCCAAGAAAACCTGTAAATCTGTGGATCTTCAGTTAGACCTCAGCTTGCAATCAAATATTCAAAGCTCCTCGAGGACAGGGATATAAAATGTTCCGGTATAGGTAAATAGCCCTTTGCCTTCTCCAGTAATATGAACTAATTCTTTGTACTCTCAATTAATTGGGAAAAGAAGAAGAAGAAAAACCCATCATAGGCTAATAGGCTTGTAGCTTAAGAGATAGCCGAGTCATATTAAGAGGAATGGATTGAGAAATCATACATCTACAGCTCAGTTTCACCATATGATCGAGATAGCCCAGGATCACTTGATGTATTTGTACATGTACTAGCAAATACTGAAGGAAAGCTCATAGATTAATTGTATGGTGAAACATTTTCAGGTTGGCTAGCAAAAGTGTCTTAGAATTTGGCCTCCATCTTAAGTTTGGCCGGCGCCATGAGCTAGCCCAGATTTTCATGTCTTTTGAAAGTTCAGAACTACTCAGTTTACTACCCACACACACAGATGAGGTTGAAGATGACAGCCAAATCTCATAATTCCAGACTTTTTTCATCAGGGGCAAGGCAATAACATGAACAGATTACGTGTAATTTGCAGATGCACGGATTTAGGTTTACCCCACCTATATTTCCCATCCAGTTTTGGTTGTACTGCTTCTCTTCTTTCATTCCACGTTTCGAAGAATATTATTATTATTGGAATAGGATAAATTGCAATAATTGAGCTATCCTAAAACTAATTGTAGCAATCAACTTACCTGTAATATTTAATTATTGAAGTCCAATATGATTTATTGTAGTATTAAATGACTTTATATGCGATCCAGCATTGGTTTGAATGATTCATCGTATCCAACTCAACTGTTAAGAGGGCCGTCGGTTTGTATAAGAGAGTGTCTTCTTATATGAGCTGAGAGTGTCTTCTTATATGAGCTGAATTCTCAAGGCACACGACATGCACATTAAAAATTACCATGGAATTTATGCTAATATATATATATATATATATATGTATGTATAATTTGTAAGCTCTCCCAGATATTCAGACAAGCTTATTTTCACATCATATCAAGAGTAGCTTTGATTACTTCCTGTATTTTCTTGTTTTCTCTTACAAGCATCCTTACTGGGCTGGATGCTAATTAGATGTAGAACTCGTAATTAATATGTATATAAATACGTACGTTATCAACTCCATCTTTATGGTGGGGATCCAGGTCTTCCTTTCACTCAAAAATAGTTATTCAAGAGGACTGCAATATGAAAAGATAGAAGATTCTGATAATAAAATGACACCTATATATGGAGAAAAACCATAACAGGCCCTGCATCGAGAAAAACCATCTCTCTTCATTAAGATAAATCATAACACCTAAACTTTATTGAGCATAATTTAACTACGGTTGTTACCGATTATCTCCTAGAATTATATATTCAATCCGTTCTTATAAAACATAAAATCCACAGCCGACATTTAGTAAAAATTCTACCATGTAAAATTAAATGAGTTGGTGGTCTATTTATTTGCATTGTACATGCTTTGATCATTATAAATTATAATAATAATTTTTATTTATTTATTTTGGTATTCTAAGTGTTTTTTTATTACATTCTTCTCTTTTCATATTAATAAAGTTCATAGCGTGCTTCTTAAGTGATTTCAAGTGTGTAGAACTAAAAGAAAACTTACATCTAATGTGAGAATTTTTTTTCGTTATTGAATCAATTATTTCAGTGTCACTTCAATTACTAGAACCAAAGTGGTATTTTATAGTATAAATATCTTTATAAATCTTATAAAATTAATGTAGAGAGTTCAAAATACAAAAAAAAAAAAAGATTATTCTTTTAACAAATAAAAACTTATACCTTCATATGGGTTATGTCCCTATTTATATAAGTACAAGAAGCAATTACTTTATTTAGCAACCCTTCTAAATACTTGGACCAGGTTCATTCCACATGGACAAATCAGGCTTAACCCAATAATTAATTTCTCTCACTTGTCTATGAAGGACTGGATCTATCTAACATATTATATTTCAAACTTGCATAAAAATTTTATACTTGACAAGTAGACGAGTGGACCATATGACCTAAAGTACACAATGAAAGGAGCTCCAATATATAAACTTAATTATATAGGAGACATCAACCTTACAATTTATTATTCCTTAACATGTACTAATATACCTTAAGCATTTTTAGTTGCATGGGATTGAATATAATCGCTCAAGAATTTCTTACTCAATCTATTCTTACAACTACAAGGATTCTAAGTCATATCAAATTTATTCAAATGATATGATCCCAGCTGGTGAAAACAAGTAACATGTATAAAACTAAAATTATTATTTCTCTCTCTCTCTCTCATATTAATTAAATCTGAATTAACTCGCTTTCTTAAGAGTATTTCTTTAAGTCGAATCATTTTATGACCATAAGATATACTTCTAAAGTAGAGATTATTTATACATTGCCTCTTGATATAGTTAAAAGTCACAAAAGATAAGATTTTGAAATCTTAGGTATGATTTTCAAGATTCACATAATAAAGAAGTAGGGATCCATTTTTTATTCATGTAATGGTCGTTAGCTCATATAGTATGAAATACATGTTATAGTGGAGCTTACTTTTTTTTTTCTAAAGACCAAAAATGTATGTCATTGCTCTTCTTGTTAGAGGAAATACATCATACGAGTTTAAGTCTTGTTACTAAAAATATAGACTTCAAATTAAATTTTTTTATTTGTTCATTTTCATTAGAAGTAGATGAATAATTTCATACTTGGCTTCAATCACAATAGACACATGAATTGTGGCAATTCATTCATGACGATTCTTTTATTTAAGAACCTCATCTGAGTCCTAACCAATGTGACTTTTTAATAATTGCTTTGACTTAAAATTACTCTCATTGCATCTAAATTGCTTATTGAGCATTAAAACTCAAATAGACTCATGTCTACTCACCTTACGAGTGCTAGATGTGATTGTTCATGTGAGTGAGCCAATCTAACTTTATCGATATACTTTAACAAATTATACTATATGATACTTATAATATATTCCACAAAACAAATAATGAATAACATTATACACTAATGATATTTATTCATTATTCAATCATTATAAGCCTTTGTATAATCCTTTTGACTGTTATTCAGTGTTTCTGACTAGGGTTTGATTGATATTGGCCAACCAATCCAACAACATAACATATATTGGGACATGTGCATATCATTATATGCATCAAACTATCGATGAAACGACATAAGGTACTCTAGATAGTTTTCTTTTCCTTTAGAGTTTTGGGACACATATCATGGTTTAGGATCAAGCTTTTATCAATAGGAGTGTCCATTGGCTTATTATCTTGCATATGATAGTGCTCTAACATCATTTTCATGTAAGTCTCTTAAATTAAACCCAAAAGTCTTTTAGCACGATCTTTTATGATTTTCACACTAAGAACATAGTTGGCCTCACCCATGTATTTCATTTTAAAGTTTGATGATAACCACCTTTTAGTAGTAAAAATCATTTCTTTGCCATTTGTAACTATTAAGATGTCATTAACATATAAGAAAAATATTATAAAACTATTGTTAGAACATTTTAAATACCCGCAATGGTCTTCTTCCATCATTGTAAAACCATCCTTAAAGATAGCTTAATGAAACTTGATATTTCATTTGTTTAGAAGCTTGTTTAGGACTATATATGGATCTTTAAAGTTTGTAAACTTTGTGCTCTTATCTTTTAGTCTCGAATCCTAAAGGTTGATCAATATAGATCTTCTCATTTAGTTTTTCATTGAAAAAAGCAGTTCTAACATCTATTTGGTATAACTTTAAGTCCATATATGCGACTACAGCTGACACGACGAAAAGATTAATGTCCTCTCCCAAGTGCAGGAGCATCAAAGTAATAAATAACTTGGCAAGACCGGGGTCGAACCACAGGGAGGTTAATTTTACAAATTATAAATAACAATAATACAACAACAATAATAA